GAAACTAAGGCTCAGAGAGGTTAAGTAACTTGATTGGCATCTYATCAGTCAGTGATAGAAGCTGGATCTGAACATAAGTCAACCTGGCCTGAGGCCAATGTGCCTCAGCTAAGTGCCATTCCACTTAGCTGCTTTTATCACCTCCCCTCCCTCTCCCCAGAAGACCACACCACTGCTGCATCAACACCAGTGACAGCYACAGCAGCAGCAATATTGAAACCACAAGGATTCTTAAAGAAAGTGTTTGCTCTCACTTTGCCTATTCCATTCTCCTGCGTGCCTCACACCTTGAGATCCTCTCGTTGGCCCTTAGCAAGAAACACTTGAAGAAACAGACCCTCCACACTCAGCGGTGCTGCCAGAAGAGTTCTACTTAGTCACTGCAGCATCCACTTGAGCTTTCTCAGCAGAAACTTCTCTCTGCCAGGGAAGCTAGAGCAGCCACCTGGGAAATCTGGAAGAACATGTAGAGCAGTCCCACTATGTTCTCAGTGAATTCAAACTTTCCAATTTCCGTATTTTTCCTCTGCCCTGATTGTTTCACAAATTTATTTTTTTATAACTTTATTTCATTTACTTATTCAATTTTTATGTGGTGCTGAGGATCGAACCCAGGGTCTTACACATGCAAGGCGAGCCCTCTACCGCTGAGCCATAACCCCAGCCCCACAAACTTATTTTTTTTCTCTCATATAGTTTGATGGCATGGAATATTCTTGGCAAACAAATACTTGTCAATGTTCTCTTCTGCTTAATCAACTTCTGACAATCGAACTTTTTCAAGAAAGAACGATGGACCCATTACAGTATACCTAATAAGCATAAATCTAATTAGGTGAGAAGTCATTGTACTTATTTAACCTTAGCATTGTGGCTATCTTCACCTGTGAATTAAATTTAAACTTTAATTGCACTTCATGTGATGGCCATCTGTCAAGTGTTACTAGGCAAAGCACACACGGCTCATTTGAGGCAATGAAGACTAGAAAATTGACATGCATGGATTAGCAAGGCCTGCTTGGTAGGGAGCAGCCTTAACAGAGAGAACCTRTAACCTCACCTGTTTTGTTTCTTCACATGATATATATCTATACGAACAAATCATCACATGTTGGGTGGTGTTCCCTGGCCACACACAGGAGTTCTGTTAATTATRAAGTTTTAGGTAAACCACTGTTAAGTATTCTTATAGGACGGAAAAGGTGCTATGGATTAATTAATCTCTTCCTAGAGTTTAGTTTCTTATAATTGGAAAATGTCAAATAACAATTAAAAGCCATGAATTAAGTAGCTAGGTTTGCAGAATATGTTGTATAGAAAGATGGGGGGGTTGTATTTTATATACCTAATTTTTACATGGAAAAATAGGATGTGTATACCAATATTATTTACATATATATGTAAAATTGGCACCACAATCTTTCTAAAAATCAAATCAAATTGAAAGCTTATTCAATAGAAATCCAGCATTTGAAATTATGCAGCCCTTAAATTTCAGCTTTAGGCAAGTCAATAATTTAGTATAGAGAATAGACTCCAATTTTAAATATTTATTGTGCTTGATATACATAGAAATGAAAGATAAAGGTAAACTTTTTTTATCATTGTGCCTCTTTTGATTATAAWTCAAGCTGATTTTGAATTCATTTAAATCTTCAACCAAAACAATTAGTTTCTTGTTTCTTTATAAAAATGATTAAAGACATATTTCTTTCTTATAATAATAACACCAATTCTGCAGGGATTTGTGGAAAAAGATTATAGGGGATGTGGTGATATTCCCCCTAGATCCCCTTTCAGGCCTGTCCCCTCCCTATTGGCAATGTTGGTGTTGCCAGCTCTCCATCTTTCTCTGGGAAGAAGGCTGCTTGGTCCTAGGTCACACTCGCTGTTGGGGTAGGCAGTACATGAGGAGCCCACATCCACTGACTAATCCATCTAAGGCCTCAGCCTCCAGGTGGGCCAATTCCATATGGCTACTGGTGCTCCACACCTTCCTATAGGTTAGCCATTGTTGGATTTGCACTGAAGTTCAATTTCTCCTTCTGCCCAATCCTATTGACTCCATTCCTCCACTTAACATCCTGATATCCTTAGACTATTGTTCCTAAGAGTGCTCTTCAATACATTTTCTGTAAGTATGTCTCCGTCTCACAGTCTATTTCATGGAGAATCCACTTGAGACAAAGAGCAAATCTCTTTAGACATATTCGAAGAGGAAAGATTAATGTACAGCATTTCAATAAACTTCAGAGGGAATTCCTTGTGGTTTATAGTGGTTTTATTTCAAAAACATTTATTAAGCATCTAGGGTTTTMTAGGCATTATTCTAAGACTTGAAGACATAAAGTAAAACGAACACTTGATCTCAAGGAAGTCATTGGAATGAAATACAAACATTGCAACAAATGAATATAATTAAAATGTGGCAATCCCTAGATTAAAAGTATAACAAACTGCTCTGAAAATATATRGAGAGGAATGTCTATCCTCCATGCATGGAACAGGAATGGTTTCACCAGGGACACGTGATAGAAATTCTTCAAAAGGCTCAGGTCTCTTGAACTATTCTTTCTTCTCTTCCTCTCACATCCCAACTCTCCACCAAAGCTCTTCTAAACTCATTAAATGTGTCTAGAATCTTGCTCTCTGCACTCCATCCCTGCTTTTGTTTTGGGCCTGCCCAACACAGCTCCTAGCTGCAGCCCTCTTCCTGTTTCTACACTTGTAGCCCTTCCAGGTCTCTTCTCACCAGCCCTTAGGTGATTTCCCCAATGAAGTCAGATGCAGTTGCTCCGCAGAAAAGATTCTAAACATTTATTTTAAAAACAAAGATGTCACAGCACCTACCGAGTCCCACATCTCCACACACCCCTCTCTGTCTTTACCCTCCAGTCTTACCTTTCTCAGGCCCTCAGGTCTCTCCCATCACACAGGCTGTTTGGGCCTCTAGGGCTAACCACATTGCCTGKATGATGCTGTGCTGCATGTGCCTGCCTCAGAGGTCTGTAATCAAATCCCTTGCTGCTCGGTTGGTCAGCTGAGTCCTCACCTGGCCCTTTTCCTGCAGGCAGATTGACTCAGCCATCAGCTTATTCAGGAAACTTTCCCTGACCACCTTTACCCTGACTACCCATTCCGTTTTTCTGCTTTATTTTTCTTTACAGCACATACTAGCCGCTCCTTAACTGGTTATTATTTATTTTATACAGAGGTTGCATTTCCTCACCAGAAGACAAGTACCACGAGGGCAACCATGATTATATGTTTGGCTTCCCCAACCATCCCTAATACCTATAATTGTCCCAGAACTGAGTAAATCCTCACTGAATGTTTGTCAAATACATTAATTTTAAAAAGTATAATAGAAACTAAGATGAGGGTGAAATTCTTTAGGCATAAAGATTAAAGGCATGGAGATTAAAACATTTCTAATCTAGTGTGACTAACGTTTAGAAATCCTTTGTGGTCAGAGCTTGAAACATAGCATGGATATGGAAATCATGAAATGTGGTGGTTATGAGCTGAACTGTATCTCCCTGCTCCCAATGCTTAYGTTGAATCTCTAACCATTAGTATCTCAGGATTTTATACTAAACCTCTTATACTAAAACCACTTTAACTTTGTCAAAGAATATATTTCTCACATTTATTTGATTATAGAACCCTTTGATATTTGGAAATAAGGCCTTTAAAGAGGTGAGTTATTTAAAATAAAACAGTTATACTGGGCTTGAATCCAATCTGATGGCTGTCATTATAAGGAAAGGAAATTTGGACTCTCAGAGAGACACAAGGGATGTGTACACAGAGAGAGAGAGTGACCATGTGAGGACTCAAGTGAAAAGGTGGCCATCTGCAAACCACAGAGAGGCCTCAGGAGAAAGCAAACCTGTTAACACCTTGATCTCCAGAATTGTGAGAAAGTTAATTTCTGGTTTTTAAGGCACTGGTCTCTAATATTTTGATAAGAAATTTTGACTTTAAATGTCCCTGAAACATTTTAAGCAAGGGTAGAAGTGAGATTGAGACCTAAGTTTCAGGAAGACTGTGTTCGTGGTAACATGGAAGAAGGACTAGAACAGGGAAAAGACTTAGCCATGGAGACTAAGGGAAAGTGTCTGCAATGGTCCAGATCCAGATCAAGTTGAATGAAGGGAAGCAAGAAATGGGCATCCACCTGAGAGCACATATGAGTCAGCACCAATGTGACTTACTGACACAGCGGATGTCTTATTGACACCTGCCACAACAGAAAATTCAGTAAGTTTCAGCCATTTAAAGAGGTTCAAAAAATAAAGCATGTGAATTTCAATGGAACTTAAGACGGTCTAGCAACACTCATGCTGCTCCAGCAGTAGAGTACTCAGGGAGAGAGGGTTCTGCAGGGGCTTGGTCTCTCTTGGGGATAATGTGCCTATTAGCATATCCACAAATCTGAGAAATTTTACAATGAATAAACCATTTAATTTTGTCAAAGAATATATTTCTCACATTTATTTGATTATAGAACCCTTTTTTTTCCCCTGAGGCACTTTTCCTGAACATGACTATTCTAGAAATGAACACAATTTGGAAAACAAGGCTGTGTTCTAAGGCACTACAACAGTTCCTAGATAAACAGAGAAGCTTGATCTGGGCAGTCTTTATTTCCAATAAGGACACTGCTCAATACAGTTTTAAATCAACTCATAAAAGGAATATATTTGGTTCTCCTATAGCCTAATTACTACAAGATTAAAACAAAATAAGAATCTTTTGAAAGTAGAAAGAATTCTTTCACATCTCTAGAGGAAAACTACTCACTGCCTTGAAAAAAAAAAGATATCTCAGGAACTTCAGAGGGAAAATGAAAAAATCTGCAGCAATTTTTTCACCAGGGATTTTGATCAGAGACACTAGATCCAGTTATGGTCTAAACTTTCTGATATTTCCATAGTTTTTGAAACCCAGTGTGTGTGTGTGTGTGTGTGTGTGTGTGTGTGTGTGCAGCGACTCACATGCGATGCGCACATAAGCCTTCCGACTCTTCGTGGTGCCTGCTGAGCTCCAGGCCACACACTGGCACCAGTAGTCTTCAGGCCCAAAGAGTTCTTCCACTTGCTGTCGTGAAATCTCAATGCTCACTTCCCGGACAATGAGACCTGAGAAGAGAAAGGGAGGTTCAAGTCAAGAGAAGATCTGTACCAATGAAATATGAAACACATATTTTTCTCCCCAATGATCCTTCTTGTTGCTAAATGCCAACATCCAGATGTTGTCTCTCATCTCTGRTTTTTCAGCTGGCTCCTGTTGCTTTATTTAACCACTTTTTCATTCTCTTATTTGCTATTTCAAATCTTCTGGATTCATCTGAAGATGAAAGCGGAATGAATCCATCACCCTACAAAATAATGGATTTCCCCAGAGAGCTTGCTAAAATGCATCCCCCACCAAGTTATAGCCCTCTGTTTACTGAGGAGTGAACTCAGATTTCACATCTAAGGACTGTACCTCAATTAAAATGTGGCTAGGATGCCCAGGTGCTATACACAGTCTTCCAACTCCTCACAAGAAATGAGAGAGAACAACCTAAATCTATAATCTTTGTGGTGCTAATTTAACAATTCAATTACTTTAATAGTTGTGTTTCAATTATAATAGCCCATTATTTTTTGTGAAAGAAATACTTCAGTTAACATACCTCTAATATCCTAATCAAAGAATATATGCCTTTAGGGTTTTCATGCAAGATATCTTGAAAGTCCACCTGATGCATTATAATTGCAATGTAACTAAAATCCTGTTAAAGTCCTTCAGCCAAAATGCTGAAATAATTGCAATTTATTTCACAGCCTTATGTAATCTTGGATAACAAAAATTGAACTAAGAATCTGGGATTATCATTTCAAGGATATATATCTTTAGCTATCAAGATTGTTACAGAGAATCATTCTGCAATGCTCATTTTTGCAGTGAGTAAAATGGATTAACTGAACATTGTATGTGGGGAACTTTCAGTTCTCCTGGAAATGGAATACACATATTTTCAKAATGGAGTGTCCATTGAGATAACTAGCAGAATATCCAGGGAGTAGGAGAACTTGTTTTGAGCCAAGTAAGGGCACACAATAAGAATGATTAAATAAATCTCTTTGCACTATTTACTTTATATTTATTTATTCATTGAAYAAGTATCTATTGTCAGTTACATAAAAGATATTGTACTGAGCACAGAGAAATTCTAATTACTCATATTAACAATGGGGTATACTACTTACTATTTAAGAATAATTGTTTTTAGTGCTGCAAAGGCGAGCTATAGGGATGTGAGAAAGTAACAAAGAAGTTCAATCTAGCCTGAAAGATTGAACCAATGTGAGCTATCTTGGTAGCATAATATAGTGAGAGCCCAGGGTGGGAGCACATGCCTGTAATCCTAGCAACTCAGGAGGCAGAGGCAGGAGGATCACAAGTTTGAGGCCAGCCTCAGCAACTTAATGAGACCCTTTCTCAAAATTTAAAAATAAAGAAACCAAAGAACATAAGGAGCTAAGAAAGATATTTAGGAGACCAAGAGCCCAAAATGTCTCTGAGCACTGTAAGCACTGGATATGGAGAATAATAGGAGATGAAACWAGACAAAAGAAAGAGTCTAATTCATGTATTCTTGTGGTCCAATGATTCTCAAAAAGTGACTCCTATGACAATGTCATCAGTTTCACCTGGGGTCCTGTTAGAAATGCAAATTTTCAGACCTTACTCCAGACTCAGTGAGTAGGAAACTTAGAGAGTAAGGCCCAGCAATCAGTAGGCTTTTAACAACTTACACCAAGTGTAATTCTGATACATGCTAAGTTTGGGAATCATTCTGTGTGTACACAGTGCTTAAAATTTTGGATTTCTTCCTAAAAGCCATGGAAATCATTGAAGTGTTTTAAGCAAGTAGATGTCATGATCAGAGAGGAACATATATGTGTGTGTGTGTGTGTGTATATATATATATATATATATATATATATACATCTTATATGTATCATATGATATCATATCATGTGTCTGTATATACATGTGTGTGAGTGCATGTGTATATTGTGATATTGTGCATGTGTGTATATGTATGTCAGTGTGTGTATATTTATTTATTCAATTCCTTGGAGTTTAACAAGTTCCAAAAAGTAATAATTTTTTTGTAATGTTGATCATAGGTGACAGGAGAGAGTATGCCTTTGGGAAACCCCTAAAAAGGAATTCCAGAAATTTCTCTGTAACACATAAGAAATACTCAAATGAGTGAGAGTACTCAGGAAATTAACAACCACCCAGTGGAAGCAGGTACTGTCCCCCAGAGGAGTGAACAATATATTCTATTAAGAGCTGAGAGGGCTTGAGTCATGGGAACTAGTAGGCTCTTAGGTCCACTAAAGATCCTCTCGATTGGATTGAGGACCAGGAAAGTGGGTTTTAGAATCATAAGAAAGGATGAGATCCATTGTCAAAAGTTTACTGAATATATTTAAAAAATATCTTAAAGTTTTGAAAATTAGTAATCCTATCATGTTTATACAATGACCAGTTTAAAAAGAAATTTCAAGTAACTGCTATAATGCAACCCTTCAGCCCTGTCTGAAAAGCCAGTGCATTATTTTAGCCAATGTCCAACTGATATAACAATCTTCACAGCAAAAATCCCAAACTATCAGTGAATAGCATTACTTTCGACCCTCTTTCCTGGCTCTGCTCAGGCCTCCTGTTTTTCTGATCTTATTATAATTTTTCTCATTTTTCTAATATCTAGAAATTTGTGTCTTTGGATAGATGGACTGCAACCTCTCTCCCAACCCCATCTCCTCCTRTTTTCTTCTTCTTCACTCTGGTGTTTAATGCTTTTCTATATTCAAATGAATATAGAAATTCTTTATACATTCCCTTCTCATGCAGAAATTCAGTTACTGGAAACACAACTCTTCCAATTTACAGTTACCAAAGGGCTGATAAACCTGCTGTGTATATTTCCTTCAAACTATAATGGCTCTTTCTAAAATTCAGAGCATCAACAAATGGGCTCAGGATATTAAAACCACATACAAATATTTTGTGTCCCAAGAGGATACCTCAGATTTCATTCCCCACTTTTACTTAAAGCAATTACAGGAAACCTAATTAAATGCTAGTGGAACTTCACTAGGTCCACTGTATCCTTTAGCCCAAATAGGCTCATGGATGTTTCTACTGACCACAAATCTGAAGCCTTTTAAGAAGCCACAGACCGACCCTCCTGCTACAGGAGCTATTCATAGTATGAATGTTCTGAATTGTGTGGTCTGGGCTGGAATCAAGCACACACCATTTTTTGTCTTCAGCTCCACAGACACCCCATTCAGGAGGAGGTGGACTAATTACAGTTGTGTACAGTTATTCTGTTACATGTTCCAAAGTTTACATTCCAACTTTTGGTCAACAACACAAGAACAAGAAAGAATGGCACCATAAAGTATCAGTTCAGAATTCCCTGGAATCGGCTGCAGTATTCAGACTCTGAGCTACAAGGTTACATACCATAGTTTTATTACCATAGATAAGTTCATTACCTATGACATTTTGCTCATCATCAAACCAGGGCTAGTGGTTTGGGTAAAAGCAGGTAATATCTTTTCTCTTTGAAAGTAAAATTTCAAATCTGCTTGAAGTCCTGAGATGGAAAAAGCAAGCTTTCTTGAAATATGAAATGCCATCAGCATTACTTCCAAGGCAGGCTGCTTTGAAGAGCATTTGGGAACTTGAAATTGGTTTCAGGTTATTTAAGGGTAGGGGAAATGCTTCAGTCTACAGGATTTACACAAATACAAATGTGTAGTTTCCATCACATCTGATAACATCAAAGATTCCCCATCATTATGTTTCCCTTAATAGTGGCATCTCAAAGACGCATGCTGTTTGAAGTTTTCAGTGATTTGCTTTCATAATATGATTCATTGTGGTTTGGGAGCTAGAGTGCAGGAAAGTAATTAGCATGTTATAGCAAGAAGTCTTATAATGAGTCTGAGCATACACTTGTTAACAGGGAGTTTCAAATGAATATAGAAATCCAGATGTAAATGCCACCTTCTGAGTGGATCTTTGTGAGGCCATACATGGATATGGCAATAAAACCTACTAAATGACATTGATTACTTATATTTAGTATACCTTTAATTTTATAATAGTGATCAGGCACCCACAAATAGCATTTTCCTAGGATATTATTCTAAACTAATCAGCAATACATGATGAATTTCCTTGAATAATTATTCAAGACAATATGTGTATTCCCATAGAAATTGAATTTGTAGTGTCATCAAACACGTACTTATTAAAAATCATTAATGTCAGAGACTATGTTAAGTTGCAGAAATATAAAAATGGATCAAATGTTGTTTGGCTTTAGCTATTTATTTACTGAATAAAAGTACCTTGTTTATTAGTTGATACTTAAAAATTATGCACCATCTTAATACATTTTAAAAAGTGTGGTTACCAAACTGTACCTTCTGATAATTCATGAGTGTTTAACTGAAACCCACCTAAGCCAGCATTAGACTTGGGTGTTATGTGTGTCTGAGCTGTATTCCTCCTGCCTCCCAACGACTTCATCTTCCCTTTGGCAAAGGGAGACAACACATTGCACAGGCCCAGCAATTTGCCTCCCAGCCCCACCCCCATCTCTCTAATGGAGAAGAGCTGCAGAGCTCTCCCAAATCTCATTACAGGACATTCACAGTTAGGACAGGAGTTAGTGGGAAAGGCACAAAGTTGCAGGTAGGGATGTTCTGGAATATATTATGACATTTTATTGAATTAGTGTGGTCTCTTTCTTATGCTTTCATTGGGAGCCTAATCCTATTAGTCTTCACTAATATGATCTAAAATATGAAACATATCAGTTCTAGATGTCTTAATCTAAATTAAATCACAAAATACCCTGCCATTATTTAAAAGGATGTCATACCATAAAAACTGATAATCATTTTAGCAACCTATAACTGTGACTATAATAATCAAAATATGATAACTTGAAAGGCAGAACTTCACTATCAGGATGCTAGATTATATTCCACGAGGTCATCTGACAATCTTTACRGCAGGTTATATTCCACGAGGTCATTTGACAATCTTTACAGACATT